ATGCATTGTAACTTTTGCTCTATATGGTGTGACACTAACATGAGTAAAATTAACTCTGAAAATTTGTTTCTTACAGAAGTTGATTGGGAGGTTGAAAACATAGGCATCAAAACCTACTCAAATTTTTATTTACAAAAATGAAATAAAATTTAAATCCATATATAGTTTTCCTTTCAGTTTAAAATTATGCATGTTATTGTGTAAGTTTGTCACAAGATATTGCAATAAAAGTATCAAATCTGGTGGTTCTGTTGCCCATACTTTCGTAACCAAAATAATAAAGCAAAGAATTACACTAAATAGGTTAAAACTTATTCATAGACTGTATTCGGTGTTAGTCTTTTATGGAAAACACAAACTGTACTAAATACTTACAGCCTTCTAAAGTACAACAAATCCAATTAAAGGAATATTATGAAAGCAAACTGAAAAATAGGAGTTTCATGTGCTCTGGAGTTTATGTTGCAAACAGGGGACAGGAGTGAGCAAGAAAACGGAACACGTAAAAGAAAACCTGAAACCAAACAAATAATGCTACAAACATCTGAAAGACAGAAACAAAGTCCAACCCTTAGCCTTAATCAGTTCTTAAAAACTCCCATGCTAGAATTCATTCATGTCCTAGAATGCCCTCGATGTAACTCTTTACGGTTGTTTTATTTATTTAGCTTAGATCTTTGAAAATACTAATTAGCTCAACGTCTCCCTTCACTGCTCCCCAGCTGCAGCTGCTCATCCTCCACTCCAACACTCTCCATATTGACTGCATTATATATAAGGAGCTGCTATAATTAGACAAACCGTTTCCCCAACTGCCAGTTTAAATGGATTTGATAGAATTTTATTTGTTTAGATATGCTTCATAAATCGCCCTCGAAAGATAGTAAAATTCAGTGAAGGGTAGTAGAAGGCTTAACCCTATGATTTCACCTTTAATGTTATAAAAGCATGCCCATGTAACCTTGGGGCGACAGTGGGGTCGGATGAAGGATTTTGCCCTTTAGTCTCTTTATGATTTATAAATTGTAAAGAGACTATTTATTAATTAATAACAGTTTATTATTATTTGGTAATCATTTATAATTGCCGATTAAAACATTTATAGAAGATCAATATATCATACTTCCCTGCCATTTTGGTTTAGCCCTAACTCTAACATCAGTGGACTTAAAGGAATAGTACACCCAAAACATGATTAGCCTTCATTTTCTACTCACCCCCATGCTGAACAACACTCTGGAGTACTTTTTTGATATCTCAAATGCATCTGGAGATCTGGGAGGCTTCTTGCTGTCTGCTGACATTCAAATAATGGAGGTTTATGGTGCCCGAGACAGAAAGGTCCATAAAAGTCCACAAAAAACGTGTCAATATTCCTCCATACTGCTCGTCCAATGTATTCCAAGTGTCCTGAGTGGGTAGCGTCCAGAATTTACTCGAAACAAAGTCATTTAGAATGTTTTTAGAGCATAAACAGTAGTGTATAGGATTTCCTGAAAGCACGCGCCGGCGCGTTCATGACGTTCATGACTTTTTTGAGATATCAAAAAAGTACTCCAGAGTGTTGTTCAGCATGGGGGTGAGTAGAAAATGAAGGCTAATCATGTTTTGGGTGTACTATTCCTTTAAGACCTTAACTTAGCCTTTATTTTTAATTTAACTGGACATGTTGCACTTACTCTTATCTAACACCAGAAGGCTTAATACTTTAAACCATCATTTATTTACTTTTTATTTAGATACAGTTAATCTACCAATCAACATTAATAAACTATCTGTTAATTGTAAATAAATGGTATCTTCACCATTTATAAGTGATCGTTTTGATGGTTTTTGTAAAGTGTAACCAATTCAGTTTTTTTTTTTCTTGTTTTTTTAAATTTAATTAAATTTAATTCCAAAAAGGATAGAGCATTCAATGGTTCTTACTCCTATTCTTGTACACACTCAGGGCCCAGACTTACAGTTTTTCCTCAAACATTTTCAGACATTCTCAGAGAAAATGCTCAATATTCTAAAAACTCTACATGCAATTTAAAAAAAAAAAATCCACAGACACCATCTTCAAAACGCCTCAATTCAATCCTTTTTATTTGCAGGTAAACCACAAACCATCAAATAAATAAAACATTTATTAGAACCATTTGAACATTAATGTCAATGTAAAAGGTCAATTTAAAAATATAATGGTGAATGGAAAGGGCAAATCATGACTTAGACATCTTTCTCTTCAATTTTATACCTTCTGCAGTTAGTACATAGGTGTGTTCTAAAATGTTTACATCATTGTTTTTTTTTATATTCCCAAACTCAGAGCCAATTAAAAAACAGTATTTTATACAAGGTTTAGTATGTATTATTTCCCCCAAAAACGTACATCCAACCAACTCAAAGTTGCACATAGAGTTATACACACAAAAACAATATTCTACTCTAAATCATTTCATCTGTTGGGTTCTAGTCATAGCACTTTCTCCACGTCAAGAGACAGGGGAAGTGATTCACTCGCATATTAATTCAAGCCATGAACTTTATCATGGCCTACATCTCCTCTGCATTGTAATTCAGCAGAACTGTTTCAAGGGGTTTGGCATGAGTTACATGATGTTGTCGTTGTACCTCAGGTACCAGTTTTTGTGTGTAAACAATTGAAAAAAACTGTAATGAAACTGTCACAATTTTTAGTGCTGAAGGGGCATATTTTTCAAAGTTCTTGTATTTCTATTTACCATCTCTCCTTTAATACCATAATGTGCTTTTGTTGAGGTTTTTTTTAATTTTTTTTTTTGCCTTTAGGCTACAATTTCAGGACCAGTAATTTTTTTAAAGAGTGTGTCACCTGACTGAGCTAAAGGTCATGAACGTCATTAGACTAATAAACCTACCGTCTGGGACTGTTTTTACAATCCCCTTGGAGGAAGCGGAGCACAAAAGGTGGACAGTGACATGAGAAGGCAGTGACAGACCTTAAGCTGAAATGTCAGTAAAGCTCTCTATGGGTTCAATTATAGCTAAATTGAGCACAAGCAGGAGGACCCTAATTAGTGTTCTGACTTGACACTTGTGTTTGTCAGAGGAGCCTTGTGCTGGAAACTAAAAATGAGGAGATAACAGGTAGTGGCTGAAATGTATTCCTGAAGTTTCACTTTAAGCCCGCTGAAGAAAGATAACACTGACAACATGAAAAGGAGAGTAATCCTCTTTAAAGCAATGAAGAGGATATTCTCACTCGTCTCTGGATTATCATTCCTCTATTTTAAATAAGTATACAATTTCAGCATTGTTAAAACCAATAAGCTTTATTTACAGACTAAATAAGGCTTAATGAGCTTAAATCAGTAATTAATTTGACATAAAGCTTTTATCATTTAAGTTTTTTTCTATTATTTGATGACTCAGTTACTGGGATAAAAGCAACATAAATAGATTGTATTCTGTATTTGTTCTTTTCTTCTTATGCATGGTTTACTCTGCTGCATATTGGGGCAGTTCTTTAGATGTGTCTACTAAAGCATACTAGCGACATCTACTGGCAAAACAAAAAAATCTGAACAAAATTGTATTAAAAAGGTTTGGAAAGAGTTATTTACTTATTTTAAGCATATGTTGTAAAAGATCATTACAACTGGTGTCAGCAATGTTACTGTAGGCTGTTATTTATGTAAGTTATAAGACAATAAGAAATAAAAAAATCTAACATGGGTTCAAAAGCTATTTCTGTGCCGTCCAGTTTTTAGTGTGCATATTAACTGTATTGCATCACGATAAGTGTTCATGTGTGACTGGCTTTTATGTGTTAGATTACAGCAAACAACATTGCAAAGTTTTCAGAGTTGGTGAGGTTCTTCGAGAGCCAGGCTCTTTGCTAGTGTTAATTTACTTTTTTATGATGTTCAAAGTCCCTCCAGAGTTTTACAAAGACAGTTAGATTACATTATGTACTAATCTAATCCTTTGGGAATCAGAATTTTTGATTTCTGCATCTGTAGACCATCTTCAAAATCAAACAGTTCCTTAAAAAAAAGAAAAAAAAAAAGAAAAAACAGACCTCCCACTCTCTCAAGCATGATTACTCTGTTGGGTCCCAGATTCGATTGGATGTATTGTACAAACAGCTAGTTCTAAGACATTCCTAAAAAACAAACATTAGGACCCCAGCCGGAATCCTGGTTAATACCTGGTTAATACCTGGTCTCTGTGCAAGTAATATATATATAGCGATGTTCAACAATTATTAAAGTACATTTATGTCACTGCAATGTACTTTTCCCATTATGTTTATTTTCCTTTTTTTCCTCATATACAGCACTTTCAATTAACCTACTACTGAAATAATAAATAAGGCATATAAACCCGCCTTTCCTTACTGAATTCTATAAATGTACATCAATATTCAATATGATTTTAACTTAATGAGTTGCACCTCGGTTTTAATGTGACCTTCACTTGTCTGTCTGTCCAATTTTGTGAATATTCAGCTCAACTGTATCCTGGCAAGTATCAGATGTTATTGATTACCTTTACTAAAATGAATAATTTAAAGGGACATTTATCTTAGTTATAACTTCATGGCTTCTTATTAAGGGAACAGTTATATCCAGGCTACCTGATCATTAAAAATGCATACTTGAGTGATTTAGTGTAATCAGGCAACATACTGCAGCTCATCAGTATGCTGCAGGGAAAACAGGAGTCTGGCAAAACTGTTCAAGGGCTCTCGAGTACTTACTCACAGTCAGAGGTATTACATTAGTATTGATTGGGAGTTACTCCCTCTGTATTTATAGGAAAAGTGTTGAAATAATCTATTATTTAAAAACACAAGGTTTATAGGGTTATTTTTGATTCCAGCTTGTTCGGAGGCAACAAATCATATCTAATCATGGTTATAAAACACAGAACTACATTTCCCAGAATGCCAGAGAAGCTCAACTGCGTTGTTTTTCTGCCACTGTGCGGCTTTGGATAGGAAGTGCAAAGAAATGTGCTCATTCATTCATAGTCACTACCATGCAGGCAGCTGAGCCGGGATCATCGGAAGCTGGAACAGCGACATGTAGAGAAATAATAAAGGAGATCCAGAAAGTGTCTAAAAATGGACTGAAGAATAATGTGCCTCGGCGATAAGTATAACCATCACCATCATGTTCCCGGGAGTTTTCTATGCATTACTAGCGGGTTTCCTCGGAGCCGTGGCATCGTCGTCGGCCAAACTGTCCCTGGGAGCCGACTATCTGAAAGGAGTCTGTGAAACCGGACTCCGGACGTGGGGTGAGCAGCGGAAATTCAGACACGCGGATGAAACCACAGCCTGTGACAGGGTGAGTCTAATGTCTGTTAATTATTAATAACACAAACATGATGTCTGGGAATGGGCCGGTTCTGTTATGGGGGGCATATCCTCTCCTCCATGAGTCCCATGTCTTCAGCACCGCGGACAGCGTCACGCCACAGGCACCCTGCGGCATCTGCTCTCTCTCCTGCCGTGTCCGCGTGCAGAAGGACAACGCGGCTCGTGCGGGATCCCGTTGTTCTGTGAGCAGGTCTCGTGTCGCTCCTGAAGATGATGATGATGGTGATGAAGGCGCAGAATGATTCAGAGGGATCCAAGTTTCTGGCGTGACCTTAGCTCTGTCTCTGCGTCATTCTGGTGATGTCCAAAACATCTGCAGACAGGCTTTTTGTTTATTTATCCTAATCACACATCTATATTCATAGCAACATTTGGGAAAAGGGCGGGTAGGAGAATTTAAACGACCTTCATTAAATTCCAGCATGTGTTTTTTTATGCGTCATTTTAGGATTGAGGTATTTCTGGCATACCAATTAGGGAATGTCGCAATCCTGTGGGATACCCTGCTTTAACAAGGTCAAAATCCTTGTACAGTATGGCAAGCTCATTTATCACATCGTGGCAAAATGGTATCTTCATACTTAAGTTTCCAGTTTAGCCAATTAACGTTAAAATAGACACCTTGGCTTTTTATGATGTTGTTGTTTCAATACATATCAACTTAAGAGAATTTGTTCAGTTGAATAGATATAATATAATTTAATTTAACATTTTGATAGTGACTTGGTCAAGAGACTTTTGGATTTCTACATACACTCTATTAAATGGCTTAACTAATGGTAGGGCTTTACTTTCTAAGTTCATGAAGGTGGAAACTTCCTGACTAGAGGGAAACTGAGACCAATTTTATTTTGAAGTCAAACCCAAGTCATCTTTTGTATATGGCTTAAAGTTGTAATATTTTTAGTAATTAAGAATCATCTTCTCATAATTTAAGTAGTATTTTAGTGTTAGTACCATTTCTTCTCTTGGGGCTGGCGTAGTTTTTAGCACTGTAGCCTTTCAGCAAGAAGGGAGCTCTTTATGCCTTGAGTATGCATGTGCACCCTGTGCATGTGTGGATTTTCTCCGGGTACCCGGCTTCTTCCCAAAGTCCAAAATCATGACTGTTAGGTTATTTGGCATCTCAAATTCTCTAAATTGACCTTAGGTGTGAGTGTGTGTGCATGGTAGTACATCTTCATGTGTCTCTGTGCTGCTCTGCGATAGGCTGGCGACCTGTCCAGGGTGCACCCCGCCTCTCGCCCATAGACTATCTGAGATAGGCATCGGCCCTACCGTGACCCCAACAGAATAAGAGGGAGATGATGAATGGATGGATGGATGGATGGATGGATGGATGGATGGATGGATGGATGGATGGATGGATGGATGGATGGATGAGATGGATGGATGGATGGATGGATGGATGGATGGATGGATGGATGGATGGATGGATGGATGGATGGATGGATGGATGGATGGACATTTCTTCTCCTAAGTGTTATTTGCAATACACATAAAAACAATACCTTGTAATTATTTATAGTATTATAACTATTTTATATTGAAATCATTTTGTGTTCTTAAACTGTTTTATTAGTCTTATCAGGATTATACATAATTTACTTACTTAAAATTTTTCTGAAAATTTTTCTGTTCAAGATTCTTTATTATCTAAAAATAAACTTAGATTTTCTTGCCTCAGTATAACATGACAGGCAGATCATATCGGTTCATTTCTTTCTTTTCATTCCACTCAAAAAACCAAGACATTCAGAAGTGATCAAACACTGTATGGCTGCGTGCCTGAATCCAAGAGCTCACTGCCCCAATAACAAACTCCAATATATTCCAGGTACTGCAGTCACCTGTCTATAATAAAGGGGTGGAGGCCAGAAACAGCATCAGTTAAACACAGCAGCAAAAAATACAACTAAACAATCCATTATTTCATATTTAAGTCAATTCATACTTCAAACCAAAATATTTCACATTTACATATGTCAGAAATCTAACAAAAGGTAAACAGCTAAAACACTGGAGTTGTTGAAAAGCTTTGCAAAAGAGATTGGTTTTGAGCTCGCTTTTAAAAGCATCCACAGAACCAAGCGAAGGTAATGAGAGTGGGAGATATAATTCCAGAGCCTTGGTCCTACAGCCTGAAAGGAGTGTAGTCTCTCGTCTTGAAACTTGTAAAGGGACCATGGTGCTTCAAGTGTGCTTCAAGTTTTTGGTTTCTTGGGGAGTTTTATTAAAAAAGGCAATTTATTTAACCAGAGAAACAGTCTTGTTTTTATTTTCACTAAAATAGAGATTTGTGTACTGAGATTGTCATAGTTTTGATGCAAAGCAGTATGTTCAGTGTTAACATTAGAAACAAATGTGGAATCTTTTTTTACTTCACAGGCTCAGAGTTAAATTATGTATATAAAAACAAAGCAATAGATAGATGGTTTTACAGTAAATATGTTTTGATACCCATATATTTCCTTTGTTTTCTAGCTCCACATCCCTCTGAGGCTGCTGTGTGGTGGTCTTCTTTTCACCTGCAATGCTGTGATGTGGACCTTCCTTGCTAAAGCACTCAGGTACTCCTCTTCCTCTACCCGCACCACTGTGACCACCACTGCCTCCAATTTCGTATCTTCCGTAAGTAGAAACATCTGCAGTTTTCTCTTTACATCCTCTCAGTCCTAGTGCTTTTGTTGTTAAGAATAAGACCAGTTTAAAGGATCTCAGACAAGTTACCCTATTTTAGAAGGTAGGCTGGATTTCATTGAAGAATGAGATCTCATTTCAATAAATGTAGGTTGTTCATTAATCTTGTTCTAAAAACGAAAGTGTGTTTTTACTCTCCCTTCTGATTGCAGGCTTTCCTGGGCCAGCTGATCTTTGGGGAACCCCAGTTAACACTGTGGTGGGTCGGGATCTCTTTGACCTTTTCAGGTCTGTTGGTTCTGCAGAGGATTTCACCACAGGATAGACATCAGACAGCAGTCACGACAAAGGACGAATAGCACGTTGTCTCCACTAGCTGGCTGAGCTGTGCTTGGGCTAACACCTCCTATGTTCTAAAGCAAAGCCAAAGACAAAATCTGAAAACAGAGATTTTATTGAACACATTCGCTCTTTAATAGCATCCCAAGTGCATATGCGAAAAAGCTACAGCCCTTAAGTGAAAAAAAGAGGTCTTCCAGTCATATCAAATAAACGAACCACTCCCCTTCATCCATGCAAAAACCAGCTCTAAAATTAAGGAGAATTATGCCATTAGAGAGAATCTGCTTCTATGGCACAGCTACAGTCTGGCTTGTGGAGATAAACAAACAGATGCCCAGTTCCAGCTCCTTGCAAGCTCTTAAATCATTATATAAACAGGTTCACACAGAAAGGGAATATCTTTCCAGCTATTTTTGATGCATAATCTGAAAACCATAGCACAAAAAACGTAAGGTAAAAAGCTGACGGAACAAACAGCATGATATTTTTGGAGTGGAAACTAAAGACTTTGTCATTGGTAGGGGAGCAGATGTCTATATCATTTTCATGTTTTTGGATGAAACAGTAGGCCACAGTTATCTGGAACAATGCTGCAGTCCATTTTATTTCCAAAACTGAAATTTGAGTTAAAAAAAACTCAGTAGTCTCTGAAATAAAAAAAATGCTATTTTTTTCACAGCCCACTTTCTTAAAATCCAATATATCTGCCACATATTCAAAGGGCATATATAATCCAATGTACAATTCTTATTATTTTAGTTGTTTCCAGCCTTGTAGTTGATGATAGATACACTAATCTTTATGTCCAACATTGAGAGATGTTCTAAAAATAAAACACATGGCAGCTGAGGACCTCGCCAAAGCGGATAAACAGTGCTGGTGTTTTATTTAGAAAGCCAAACTTGGTGGTCGAGCAGAAAAAAATCATTCCAGCAAAGTTTCTAGCTTGGATTTCACTACATAAAAAGACTTATTCATGGAGGAGGGTATCAGATAGTATTTTTATAGCTTGGGGACCCGAAAAATCCCAAAGTTTCCTCAGCTGTAGGTTACTGATTTTCTTAAACACATGAATTCCCTGGTGTCCTTGTTAAGTCGTTTTTTTTTTTATTTGCTGCCAAGAAGCAGCCCTTCAGTTTTATATATCAGAAACCTTGGATCTAGATAACAAATTGTCACCCATACATTGGACTCAATTACTTTATAAAGTCAGAAATAACCAAAGTAATCCAAATGTGCTTTTAATTTTAATTTTAGGTAGGTACCTTAAAAATCAATACAAAAGCAGATTTATTATTTTGGTTTTATACTTTTAATTTGTCTTGGATTTATGGCTTTAAAGGTTAGCAAATTAACAAAAGAAAATAAAAAAATGGAAACAAAGAAAAATAGTTAATCTCCTCACCGAGAAAGTTATTCATAAATGATACTTGCTTTCCAACTTTTAACACTGTAACAAGCTATAACACTGTTATGAACGAAAATACTTCATTTTTGTTCTTAATTTTAAGAGGGGAAGAATAAAACATGATGCCTTGAATACAGGGATTGTAATCCGGGCTAACCAGAAGAAACACTTCTTCTTTGAGAAGATTTTTGAACTTCTTATACAGTAAAACAGTAATGTGTCTTTAACCAACTATTCCATGAAATTTCATTTGGGCATAGAGATAATATCATTGTTTTTATTAGATAAAATAAGTGCATTACTTTAATTTGGACCTATATGTTTAGATGTAAGGGCCACTTAAGGTGTATTAAAAATAAAAGTAGGCACTGTTAGGTCCTATTGTGGTTTATAGACTGATGTTTGACGTATGAAACTCACATTTTGGAGATCAATAGTTTAAAAATCAAATATCGTAAGGTGGAGTTGAGCAGCAAGTTTTTAAACAGCTAACATGTCCGAAATGGTGTTTTAGTCACAAAGAATACCTTCCAAAAACTCTGCTGGGTTTGCTATAATTTTTTATAGAATTTGACATAACACTGTACAATTTGGGGCTTGAAAAGGATTAATAGTACAGTTTTAATCCACAGCGAAAACATATCACATTGCTTGAAACCAGTTTGTGGTCCAAAGATCAATGGAAAAATGAAGTAAAGAATTTTTTCAGTACTTCTGCATGTGTTTTGCAGGTTGCATTTGGTTGTGGGTTTTAGCTCTAAACTCTTTTCTATCATAACAAACACCAGAGAGAAACATCAGAGTTTTAAAATTGCACAGTATGCAACTGGATTTAAAACTAAAAGTGCCCAGACTAGTCATACAGAGACCCAGTCTGATGCAAAATTTAATTAAACTCAATAAACTGCAAACTTGCAAAGAAATAAGCTCTGAAGTGTGATGCTCTACATTTAATTAGTGTTAATTAATATATTTTTTTCCCCACCTCACCATTGGCATTAAGAAAAATGATTCAGAATACTGTGGGTTCACTTATTTCCATTATTTAACCTATCATAGGTTCTGTAGAACAGCTTAGTTGTTTTTCTCAGATCCAGGGATAAGATGGATAAAAAAGCTACTATGATGTTGTGCATTCTCTGAAGGCTACATAGCCAATCATGTCCTCAAGCAGATCAGTCTGCTTAAGTTTTAGTCTGACTCAGTTATATGGTATAATATCCTGTTCTAGATCATTGTGATCATAGGCAAACCTTTGTTCTCTATTTTAAAAACACAGCTTAGTTTTAAACATTGAAAATATAAATGACATTTCAGCAGCTTTCTGCAGATTTCCTTCTAACAGAAAAAGCTCTTTTGGCACAGCACCATACAGAAGTTACATGAAAAAAACAAAGGAAGCTGCAGCAACCAATGCAGTCTCTAATTCACTTTTAAACATTGTCATAACAAGTAAAACAACATTTGAATTGTCAGAGAGATTCCAGATTTGTTGCTCCAACAAACTAATGTAAACGGCCCAAATAAATTTGTAAATTTGTGCCATGATTTTCTAAATTCTACAAAGTACGCGACCATGTAGACTGACTATTTGTTCTAAGTGTTTTTGATCAACAACCTTGATACCAATAATTTAAAAATATTGTGATTGATACATTGCTATTTGCTATAAATACTGTATAAAATGAACTTTTCATACAGTATGTGCAGGAGCAGGATGAAACAATAAATGTGCATACATACAGTAGGAAGTTAATATGACATACCACCAAATCTTGATGCCAATATGATCATGATGACTGGGCAACTCCTTAAAGTCTTTCTTAATTCCCACTTTTCCTTTAGTTACCGTGACACTCGCTGTAAAAACATGCGACAGGCTCACTGCATTTATTGTACAGCTCAGTTTAAGTAACATTCCTGGCTAACAAAGTGCTCCCTTATTCTTTAACAACTGTAATATTGTAGCACTGCAATGCTCATCCTTTGTCAGGATTTGCTTCCTCTCTGGGTTTCTATTTTGTTATTACGTATGCTGTTTATTACTTGAACTTTATTTTCTGCAAATGACTGTGAAACAAACTGTTTGATTCTAAGGCAGCTGCTGCACTTCAATCATATGATGTGTGTGTGTGCATGTTTTCACCAAATGCTGGATAAATCACACCAAAGCATCTTCGAGTTAAGCATCAATCAGCATCAGAGTGATGCACCTGTGAATTATTTATTTGAACTCGACGGGGATCCATTGTCAGCTGCGTGCACAGTATATGCGACCATCTATAATACCCTTCGACATATAGTGTCTCTGTTTTTGGGGTGGGAATTTAATAGTAGTATATTTCCTTCAGCAGCCAAAAATGAAAAAAACAAACAAAAAAAAACCAAAAGAAACAAGTAATGCATTATGAAAAATACCAGTTGTGATGTCCTTCTATCCTGCATGTCTCAGCTGCCTGTGGTTAAAGGTGGAGATCACTTTATGAAATGCTTCTGTTAATAAAAAGCACAAATCTAAAATAATTAGATTTGACTCAGTTATGGATGCACAGGTTTCATCGAACATTCTTTATTTTAACCCTTTAAAGCCTAATGTATCATATTTGAGTTTTTGAGACCTCTGTAACATCAGTTTGATGTTTTTGTTCTTGAAATCCTGACTTACACAATCAGACACACGCAGTGAATGGAAAACCTGTAAAATCTTATACAGAAATGCCTGTATAAAATTTGACCCGAATAAATGATCTAATTTCACTTAAACAAAATGTATGTTTCTTTTTATTTCATTTGTCAGGAAGTTCAATCATGATTCTAATTTTTAAAAATTTGACATTTGTGTCATTTATTTATTGGTTCAGGCTTTAAAGGATTAATTTAGGAGGACAGCTATCCCACCTGGCAATGAAATCCCACAGAAACAATGTTCACAATTAGATGTCCTTCCAATGGTTACTGTGCAAGTTTTAGACCTAGATAAAATCCCTGTTAATGTGACACAGCAACAGTCTGATTATAATGTTAGGTTGTTATATTTAAGGCAAGCCAAGACATTAATCAGCTCTACTTGTTTCTGTCTCCTGTTTGTTCTATAATTCTTATAGGCAATACCATTAATAGAGCACTTGCTATTACTGGTGTGGGACACGCTTCACAGTGCTGTAAAAGTTATTTTCCCACATATTTTTCTGTTTTACGTCAGTGTTTGATCATCAGATAATTTTGATATGAGTCAGTTTGCCCAAGTTAATGCAAAATGTACAGTAGTTTTTATAAGGATTATGTTTAAGAAGTTAAAAGCTATTGCTGGACCTGAAGGAAAACTGAAATGCTTAATAAGCCTATTATTTGGTAAATAGTGTTTTAGTGAAAGAGGCATCGCAGTTAGATCACTAATTGACTGACATTTTCATTCCACGCTTTCTGCTAGACTAGAATTCATCAATAATGTCATGAAGCAGCAAAGCATGTACAGTATGTTGTGTTCCTTTT